TTCTATCTACTACTGGTTTTATTTCCAAAAATCTCCTAGCGAACACAAAACAGCTGGGTCTAAATAAACATCTTTATAAGGCCATGCAGAAAGCTGTACTGTCAACGTGCAGATGTGTACGAAAATTTTTGTGAGATACTCCAGCATACCATGTCACCTAGAGCTCGATAACACAGAAAGCGTCCCACCAGAGCTCTATCCTTTTGATCCTGTAGGTATCTGGGATGAGTAAAGTTTCCCCTTAGAAAGAGAGTGGGCCATATAACTAAATCTGAATAACCTGATGAGCATAAAAGTGTAAAACTTATAAGTACTGATATTTGTAAATAGTGAAAACTAACAGATAAAGCAATATGGTATTTACTAAACCACCGACAACAGCGGTAAATAAAAGTACCGCTGCCAAATCGGACAATATTGTTTAGTTTAGCACACTCAAACACTAATTATTGCAAAATAGATTACTGAAGAGATTTATTTAATTTGTATTTTTAGAACTATTTCCGAAATGGAAATCAAAACGTCAAAATAAATGCCTTTTAAAGTCAAATTGTGGTAAATTCCCATTAAAAATGGTAAATATTAAAATACCACAAAAAAAAAATATCTTTAGAACAATATTTCTTTAGGGTATTTTGTTGGCCTATTATTTTTTGGAAACGGTTTGAAATATATCTCCTTCAATTTTTTTAAGGCTTTTTTTTCTGCATGTTTTTCACTAGCAATTACCTTAAAAGTTTCCAAATTCCTGCCACCCCTTTAATTTTTATGAATTTCTTTGTCCTTGTGCTCTGTTTCAAGTTATTCCACTCTGTTCATGATCAAAATCGAAATAATGGTAATTTTCTAAAGAGTGTTGGGCTACGACTGCAGTATTCGGTTTATTCTTTCTTATGAAGATTTTATAAACAATAATTCTTTTATTGATGTGTCTGACGACAATATTATGTTGAACTACAGTTCCTACAATTTACTTGATCAACAACATAGAATTGCCTATCTTTACTGATAGGTCTGAATTTTAAACCATATTTAATTTACCCTAATTTCTGACGATATGATGATGATATATTCATATGTATAGTTTTTATGTGAACTGATGAAGCTATCAGAAACTAAAAATACTATCTTTTGTTTACTTGTAATATATATATAATATATATATATATATATATATATATATATACTTAATAAAATAATAAACTTAAAGAAGCAAAACAGGTTTATAGAAAAGATCAGAATTTTCAATACTGAAAAAGTTATGTTTAAAATGCTTTGACCATTTTACCATATTATATCGCACTAATAATACAATAGTGTCGCAACTCAAAATGTTTCGAAACTGACATACCACTATATTCACACGTAAAATTTAATTCCCTATAAGTGTAATTGCACACACAGTGTTTTTGGACGGCCAGCATAAAATCGGCCGATATTTTACTGGTAGCAGATGCTTGCAAACGCACCGGATTTTTACCGGTCAAACAATTAGTTGCTTCGTTGTCGTAACACGAGGTTGTTGAATAATAATGAATCCTAAACGAGTTGTTGTTATTACATATTTGTATCGTCGTATTAAGCGGCGTAGGATTAAACGCAAGTGGTGGATTCATCCTATCAATCAAAACAGAGAAAACACGGGAACATTCTACACTCTTTTTGAAGAACTAACGCGTGATGGTAGTAAGTTTTTCAGCTTCTTTAGGTCTTGCCTCCACTAACAAAATAAGGACATCATTATCAAGAAAATCATCCATTGCAATCGTAATTATATACCAAGCACTACCAAAACTAAAATTAAAATGTACCTAAAATTACACCGATCATTCGAATTGGCCGATAAAAAATCGATGTGTGTGTAATACTGTATTTAGTCACATACGCCAATATGTCGCGGTCGTGCCGGCGGTACAGTGGCAGTGAACATCCGCTCACCGGCATTTTACCGACATCGATCAACGGTCGGCCTGTGTGCAATGTTCCGTTATCACATATGGTTCACTATTGGAATTTGGACGACCGGTAAAAAATCGACCGTCCAAAATAGGTGTGTGTGCAATTAGCGTAAGTCAATAAAACTGTCGTTTTAATAGTGCAGTAAATGAATAATATATGGCGCCATAAGACGTTATTCATGACTGACGACTGTCGTCACCCGCCTCATAATATCGCGTCATCTTTAGTTGTGACCAAAAGTGATCGTGTTGCTTTGCTTATCATTTCGAGTTTCCACGTTATTGCTGAATCAGGTATATAATTTTCATATTTCGACTTATTACATTATTTTTCTAGTTATTACACTATTACTAATTTACACCAGCAGTTTTTAAATTAATATTTTTACTAATGACACTATTATTGGTTCAGTTCATTATTTTTGACATGCTACATAATTGTTGAATCATCACTTTAAATAATTTTTGTTGTTGTTTGTAGAACATTTATTAATCATTATCTATTTGTCGATCACCGGATAGTAATAACTCATTTAAAGTATGTAGCAGTGTTATTAAGAAAGCTTACCACTTACTTTATTTTATAAATTTAGAGTTACTACACTCTGTGACATTCTTGCAATAAGTACTTATATACATAATCTAATAATATTACTTGATTCATTTTTGGGTTCAATGCCTGAGTCGTGGGCGATTACTTGTTGCTATGGCAACAAATGCTGAGGCTTGCAAGCAGGAAATCTCTTCACCGTCGTTTTTGTCTCTTGACAGTAGAAATAATGAACCTGTGCCCAAATAGAAAACAGTGACGTTGTGACAGTAGAATCACCACCTATACCTTCACCATTTATAAATCATCAAGTACTTCAAGAAATTAACGTAAACAGTGAAACAGCGAATGAGATTGAGAGTTGTACTTTGTATATATAGAAAAAATTATACAGGCTACTCCTGGTAGCATACATCCATACAGTATATGCGTACACAGTACAGAAAATAAATGTCAAAAGCTTAACCCATAAATTTCTGATTCGCGGTCACTCTCAAAACGAGGGTGACAATGTGCATAGTGTCATAGAAAAGCAAGTTAAGCGTTTCGTAAAATCTGGTCCAATGTAAGTCGGACAACAATATATGACATTCATTCAGAGGGCTAAAAAGACAGGAACTGTATAGCGTTACTGAAATCACTAATGAAAAATTTTACAATCTGAAACTACTTCAAGAAGAGTAGGGTAAAAATTTTAATGTTAATAAGGGGAAAGGCAAAATAAAATGACATGTCATTAAGGTGTTTCGTGTTGAAAACGAACATCCATTTACTTTCTTTTATAAGAACTGTTACGAAGATGAAAATTACCAAAAAGTTTTCGTACGTAGCTTACGACGAACTGAAAACCAGACTTCGTTATTTGCTAATGCCTTGACACAAGAGTACACAAGCAAGATACCTTCAACTCAAAATAAGAAAAGGGGCTTAAAGGAATTACTTTACAAAAATGTAATACTCAGGAGTTATCGTGAAACTTATTAAAAATTAATTAAACCGATTAAAAACCGATTAAAAATTAAAATTGTAATCAGTAATAATTGATTTTTAGGCTGATTCAAACTAAGCTTAAATAATTTTTTTTAAATATGTCCTTTTAATTAACTAAGAATTATGTAAATGTAACTAGGTTGTGTGTTTATTTTTTGGAAGATTTCTTTTGTTAAATATATTCGCTCCGTGCGTGACTGACGCAACACCTACCGCCTTCATCTAACAATTTTGGAGTCCCAATTTTCAGGTTAAACATATGACATATGTTTGACATTGTTAAATACATGCGAAATTGACAATTATTAATAAATTAGTTTTTTAACTATATTTTTTCAGTTTTTGTACAAAATAAATGTAGTATTAAAAACTGGGTTTCTCAAAATTCATCATAATATATCTTTTCAACTCCAAACGGAAAAAAAAGGGAAAAATCTAGTACTGGCAAATCAAGTTTTTCACGCAAAAGAGCATATAATTAAAAACAATAATAATAAAAGTTCTGATATAAAAACTAAAGTCATCTGCAGTTAGCTTGAAGCCTTATGAAATATCATTCAAGGTAAATTATTTAAATTTTTCCTATTTCAATTGCATAAAAATGAAATTATGTGATATTTACTTTTTCATATTAATAGCACGAATTCATCTTTTTCTTTTCTCTAATTTATAAGTAATCTTTGGGAACCTATAAAAACTACACTCACTGTTTTTGCTATTATTAGCACAATTAAATACGCAACATGTATTTGCACACAATTTTTATAAAATTTATGCGTAAAAATATTTTGTCCAATATTCCAATTTTGTCATATTTCGCCGCTACGCACGCTGGTATCGTTTCAATGTATCCCTACCATGGTCACGCACGGAGCGAATAGATTAAGTAAAAAATGTTCAAGAATACTATATTTTGTTATCTGTATCTGAATTTGTTTGATTATAATATTAACGGATTTATTTACTATCAATAACAACAATTCATGGTAATTGTTTACGTGTAAAATATTCTCTTTAGATCCAACGTTAAAAAATACCAAGAATCAGTTCCCAATATTTTTGATAAATCAAATTGTATAACACAAAATATTTTATAAATAATGTCATATCTAAAAATTATATTTCATCCCGAACATTTTGCTTAATACAATACAGTGTTAACTCAAAATGTTTAAATAATTTCACTGTTAGTATTTTTATTTAACTAAGAGTACAAAGAAACTTCCTTTAATGTTAATTAGAAACATATTATGCATTCATTCTTTTTTACCTGATCGAATGACCGAAGTTTTTCGGTGATTCTAAAAAATCAGCTTTTTTAAGTTACGACACTATTGTATTATTAGTGCGATATGTGAAGCTGGTCTGGAAATAGTACAACAGTTACGGTTGCCCATAATTGTTAACGGAATCCATGAGTTTTATATTATAGTAACTTACAAAAAAAAACAATAATGCCAAAACTACATATGGTAATACTTAAAAATTATATCATCGCTTACTATTTGCACAACTCCTAGGGTCGGGAAGAGCTAACCTCCTTTGTGCCATCACTGCAACAGCTCCTACGAGGAGCAACATCAACTGCCTCAACATTTTTCTGAAATATAAGAAGCAAAGTGAATTATGTTTCTACATTTTAACAGCAAAAATATCGTATTACTCTAATTTTATCATATATTGGTTCCCCATCAAATGTGGTGGTTTCACTTTAATTTCGGCATTTCATAGTCCAGATTTGTAGGAGTAATATTTATATTTTTATATATTATAGTGGCATATTCTCAATGTATACATACGTTAAGGTATGTTTTTTTTAATTCTTCGAATTTATTTGATATTAACTACTATACTTTATACCGAATACTTATCCATTCTTATAAATTATAATAATATTAAAAAGACTTTTAATTATTAATTATCCATTAAATACAAACTCTATTCATTTGATTTGTTTTTTGGTCTTTATTTATTTTGATTGTCCAAGACAAATGTAATTCAATTTAAAAATTCATATTTTTATTTGCCATCTTTGCCTGTGGTTATTTTTTCAGTGGCCGTTACTTTCCTTTACTTTCAGCAGAATAGTATAATAATTTTGTACTGATTTATTTCTTAACATTCTTCATATCTCAAATCTCGTAAATCATGCTTGATTATAAATGACCTTTTATAACTCTTTTATCAAATTTTTCATGTTGGTCAAATCTTCCATTACGTTGCTACTATTAATATTGGTACTATAATATTTATAGTACAATGATATAAGCTGTAAAAGGATGTAAAGTACACGGATAACAATACATGCCAGATGACAGACGTGTGCTTCGATAACAACTTTAAAATTTACAACTAAAGATTAGCTCGGTGGTCATCTCTGAATCGATTAAAATTATGCAACGGGAAGCTTTTGGTGGCGTGAACACTCTTAGGCAATATAATACACACTTGGTGGCATGAGCAACATAATACACGCGCCAATACTTAGAGGAAAATCTAATAATAAGGAATATCTCACTACGAGAATCCCGATGAGACCAACCTACATGCCATTCGATTTTAAACGACTTTATTATCCGATTTCTCTTGCATTCGCCGTGATGATAAACAAATTACAAGACCAATCCTTGAATGTTTGCGGACTGAAACATAGAAAATAATTATTGTTTCTCTTCTCATTGTCAATGATTGTACGTAGTACGTAGTTCATTCTCGCGCTTGGCAGGACAAAGAAATATATAGTAGATCACAAGTAAAGGTTCTTCAATGAAAATTATCGACACGAGTTTCGGCAAATAATTACTTTGCTATGACGTAAATTAGCTCACTTTTGAATTTTATTAAACCTAATTAATTTGATCTAAATTTAAAAAAAGTTCATATAAATCAGCTAATAATTTAAGAGAACATTTATTAATTCTAAGGTGGTACGAAGTTCAACGGATCAGCTATAAATATAAAATTTAATAAACTTGGTAGCCAAACACTTATTATAGTAATTTTTAAATTATCAGTCAGATGAAATCTCAAAAAAAAAAAATAATAATGAGCAGGCCAGGAAACTATAATATTTATATTATTTTTACTTAACTCAGTGGATGAAAACTAAAATAAACGAGAATATTAAAAAAACCAAGCTGGTACGGTTGCGGTTTTACACCGAAAATGTAAAAAGTGTATAAGATTGCAGAAGGTCTCTTAGGTCCATTTCCTATTTAAATTAATAAACTTAGATTACAGACTTAAGATTAGAAACAACTTAATGAGTGTACAGGGTGGTCCTTAAGTAATTCTACAAAAAGAAACAGTAGAATCTCACATTAAAATATTACGATTTAAGCCAAAATTCTTTAATAAAATGTTAATATTAAGAACTACTGGGTACTATTAGATATGAGAAAATATAATTTGATGCACACTTTAAAGTAGTTGTTAGAGGGCGCCACATATGCCACATATGTGACATAAATTTGCACTTAACTTTTTTGCTCTTTAATTTGTAACCTGTATTTGTGACAAAAAATATTAAAGATATATTATTTTAAAAAGGTATACTTGTTAATAACCTCATAAATTCAACAGTTTTCGAGATAATCTCATTTTACAAATGAGCTACATAATTATGATTTAAGGCAATTACTCCAAGCAATGAAAGAAAAATAAACAAAAAATGAATACTTCTGAATTTTGGTATAAAATACCTTTAACTTAAGTTAATAGGTAATGAAATATTAAATAAAATAAATATATCAGCAAAATAATTAATAATAGGATTTGACAAAATAACAGAATCCTAATAGGATTTACAAAACAAATTAATAAATTGTTAAAATAAATAACATAAGTTTTTGTAAAAGTAAGTGTAAAATGTGTTCACCATTTTCTTTAATTCAGTTGTCAACATATTCCATAAATGATCGTCTCATATTAAATAGCATTATTGGTTCTAAAGAAACTGCTGCAGTTATTTTTCCTATAGTTGATTGCAAATATTTATAGGATTTTTATAAACACGCTGTTTTAATGCGCCCCATACACCAACATCAAGCGGAATAAATTCTGGACTACGTGGTGGCTATGATGTATAATTAATGAATATATTCTTTTGGATACATATCCAAATCCAGAGATTAAATAATATATTAAAGTATGATGTATCTTGTTCATTGGTTACTTATATACACACGGAATAACCTATCGATGACATTACTTATTTATATGATTACGTTACAGCTTACGAGTAACTATAATTACATCTCGAACAAATGGACTATTATGATTTACTAACGAACTAATATTATGCTAAACTAAATTGCCTGTGTGTTTACTATATTTATAACAATATTGGTTATTAGGCCAACGATGATGTTTTTGTAAAAATGCTAAGTCTTCAAGTTATATTTTTAGCAAAAGTATTATGAAACAAGACACACATGTGTTATTCAATACCTGTGCTATAGTTTCTAATTGTCCTAATTCTTCTTCTTCAAGTTCCACTCCTATCAGAGATTGGAAATCATTCTGGCAATTATAATTTTATTGGTTACTCGCCTGAATAGTTCAATTGAACTGCATCCAAACCATTCACGGAGATTGCGTAGCCACGAGATTTTACGTCTTCCTACGTTTCTTCTACCTTTGATTTTACCCTGCATTATATTCCTTAGTAGTTCGTACTTTTCACCTCTCATTATGTGCCCCAAGTATTCCAATTTCCTGATTTTTATGGAATTTAAAACTTGGCATTGTTTTCCTAGTTGTTCGAAAACTTGTTCGTTTGTTTTGCGATCCATCCATGATATTTTCAAAATACGTCGGTAACACCACATTTCGAATGCTTCTAGATTTTTAATGTTGGATTTTTTAAGTGTCCAAGCTTCAACTCCATACAAAAGGGTAGAGAAAATATAACAGCGAAGCATTCTTATCCGGAGCGATATATTGATATCGCGATTACAAAAAAGTTCTTTCATTCTATTAAAAGTTGACCGCGCAATTTCAATGCGGCATCTTATTTCTTTTGTCTGATCAGTATCTTCTGTGATCCATGCTCCAAGGTATTTGTACGAAGATATTTGTTCAATTTCTGTATTACCTAGTACTAGCTTAACTTTGATGTTTTGTGCTTTTGTAAATGCCATGAACTTGGTTTTTTTCAAATTGATTTTTAGTCCATAATCGTTGCAATATAATATTTAGTTGTTCAGCACGGTGTTGCAGTTCTTCTAGTGTTCCTGCCAGAAGGACGGTGTCGTCAGCATATCTTATGTTATTAAGTGGCTCACCGTTTATTATAAGGCCCTCACTAATCTCGGCAAGCGCTAATTCTGAGATGGCTTCACTGTATAAATTAAATAACAAGGGTGATAAAATACACCCTTGGCGGACCCCACGGCGAATCTGGATATCCTTGGTCAGTTCGTTTTCAACTTTCACTTTTGCTGTTTGATTCCAATAGAGGTTACAGATGATTCTAATGTCTCTACAGTCTATGTTTTTATTTAGTAACATTTCTTTAAGTCGATTATGCTGCAGTCTGTCAAATGCCTTCTTAAAATCAATGAAACAGGCATATACTTCCTGATTAATATCTAAGCATCTCTGTGAAAGAACACTTAATGCAAACAGTGCATCTCGTGTTCCCAGTCCTTTCCTAAATCCCATTTGTGTATTACTTATGCCTTCATCTAATTTCTTATGTATTCTATTGTGAATTACTTTTAAAAACAATTTCAAGACATGACTCATTAAGGCTATGGTGCGATGTTCATTGCACTCCTTTGCATTGGGTTTTTTGGGAAGCAGTATGAATGTTGATTGGAGCCATTCTTGAGCTTTCATAATTGTCCTAATAAAAATGGGTAAACCATTTACGTAATGTATAATAAGTAATATTTTAGGATACTTTATGCTAGTATATACACAACAATGCCAGTATAGAAACTTAATAAGCGAAAGAAAAGGGAAATTGTAAACATGATGACGGCCAAATGACGTCTAAATACGAACACGGCATCTAAATAAGAAGAAGAAGAAACTTTTACCTAATAAGACATTTAGCATCCATAACACAGCATTTTGTGACATTTGTTACATTTTTTTGAGTTGTTTTAATAAGAATAAACTATAAATTATGCTTATCTATAGGTTTTTAGTGCTTTATCACAACTAAGAATTATGTAAGTATATAAGTAGTATTTAAAGTATATATACATATATACAAACAACAAATCCTAATATCCAGTATTTATTATATATATATATATATATATATATATATATATATATATATATATATATATGTATATATGTATATATATACATATATATATATATATATATATATATATATATATATATATATATATATATATATATATATATATATACATATATCGTCGCTTAAGTTGCAAAAGCTCGTAACCCACACTTTTATCGAAATGGCAATTTATTAGCCATTGAGTTTATTGCTTACGTACCTATGCACCTGCAAAATATGGTAAACCACAATTGCATCGTTTTAGTAAATTTTATCGAAAACAAAAAACTCGCATTCCACATATTTTACTGAAACATCTCGTATATGAGGTATTGCAGTTC